CGGTGGTGGTCGACGGTGGTGGTTGTAGTGAGTTGTGTTGGATAGCAATAAACAAAAACCTAAGGAACAAAACCCTAATGGACACAAAACCCTAATGGGCACAAAACCCTGATGGGCACCAAAACCCTAATGGGCACTTAGAAGAAAACCTAGGGGCTCTGATACCATGTAGAGACTAAGGTTGGAGAGAATCCAATGTGATGTATTCTCATTATTAAAGTCTATATATATAGACAAATGTACAAGGTTGACCTAATCCTACAAGGAGAAGGTAAATGACAAATTAATATTAATAAAAGAATATAAAATATACTAATCTATATACTCTAACAAAGTATACTAATATGTTAACATGAGCATGTACTCGAACTAGGGTAAGTAAATTTTAGGTGTCAAAATAATATAACAAGGATCAAAATGACAACTTTTTAAAAGTTTAGGGGCTGAAATAGTCCTTATGAAAGTTCAATGACTAAAATAGTTAAAAAAATTTAAAGTTACGGGACTAAAATAGACATTTATGAAAATACGAACTTCTTCCATAGGTGGTCCTCCCAAAAATAGAATAGGGCCTTCATAGCTGAGATAGAAGATGAACAGGGGAAAACTTTGACTGAAGAGAAAAATTGAGGCAGAGATCCTTCAGTTTTTCTCCTCTTTGTACACTTTGACAATGGACCAGTGCTTGCACTTAGATAATATGGAGTGGGGTTCCTTCCAGTGGCCCAAAGCTCACAGTTAACTATCCCCTTTTCTGAGGCAGAGATCAGCAGGACAGTGAATGATTTGGAAACCTTAAAGTCTCCGGGTACGGATGGGATGAGCAAAGAATTCTGGAAAGAGGCTTGGAACATCTTTAAATCCGATTTGGTGAAGGTGTTCCAAGACTTTTTTGAGAAAGGGATAATAAACAAGAGCACAAATGAAACTCATATTTGTCTCATCCCAAAAAAAAAAATCCTTCTTGGGTGAAGGATTATAGACCAATAAGTTTGGTCTTCTCACTGTACAAGATAGTGGCAAAGGTTCTTTCAGCCCGCTTGAAGAGAGTTCTACCCTTGATAATCTCGGATGCTCAAGCAGCTTTTGTAGAGGGTTGCCAAATCATAGATGCGATTCTAACAGCTTCAGAAACTGTTGGGCAGTGGAAGAGACAAAAGAAGAAGGGCATTTTTTTAAAGTTAGATTTTGAGAAGGCTTACGATAGAGTGACCTGGTCTTTCCTTGATGTGGTTTTGCAAGCTAAAGGGTTTAATTGGAGATGGAGGAAGTGGATTCAAGGGTGCTTAAGTTCAACCAACTTTTCAGTCATCATTAATGGAAGGCCTAGAGGTAAAGCCATAGCCAAAAGGGGCCTTAGACAAGGGGATAACCTCTTTCCTTTTCTTTTTACTTTGGTGGGAGATGCTCTAAGTAGGCTGATACATTTTTGTCATGAGAAGAAAATCCTTCAGGGGTTCAGAGTGGGTTTAAGTGAAGTGGAGGTTACTCATCTTCAATATGTTGACGATGTATTGATTTTTGGTCCTCTGTTGAAGCAGAATCTTGAGAATTGGTGGGGTTCGATTAACTTTTTTCAGATGGCTTTGGGCTTCTCCTTAAACGGCTTTAATAGGCATCAATTGCAGCCACTCAAAGTCTGATTTTTGGGCCACTTCTTTCGAGTGCAAGGTGGAGACTTTTCCTTTTTCTTATCTGGGTTTCCCGCTTGGGGGAATCACAGACACAAGAGTTTTTGGGATCCTATACCGGAGAAAATTAGTAAAAGGCTTCATAAATGGAAGCATCTATTTCTTTCAAAAGGCGGGAGGCTAACATTGGCACAAGCAGTTTTAAATAGCCTCCCCCTTTATTTTTTCTCAATCCTTAAAGCCCCGGGGGTGGTTATAAAGGCAATGGAAAAACTGATTCGGGACTTCATTTGGAATGGTGGTACTCACAGGCCGGTGGGGAATTTGGTGAGATGGTCTTGGACGGCCTTACCTAAAAAGCAAAGAGGTTTAGGTGTTGGCTCCCTTGATTTGAGAAATAAAGCCCTTTTAATGAAATGGTTGTGGCGGTTTGCTTTAGAGCAGAAGTCCTAGTGGAGAAGTGTGATCGCTGGAATCTATGGACTCTTTTGGGTGGTTTACTAGGAGTAACATTGGCTCCTCGACTGTGGATCGGTATCGAAAGCACTCGAGAAGCCTTTCTAAATTTTACGCTTTTTAAGGTTTCCTCGGGGAATCGTGTTCGGTTTTGGGAGGATAGCTGGGCAGATTCCTCCCTTCTTGCCAAGTTATTTCCAGAGATGTACAGAATGTCAAACAAGAAGGGGGTTTCGATAGAAGAGTGCTGGAATTCAGATTTTCTTACATGGTATTTGGCCTTTAGAAGAAATTTATTTGACAGAGAATTAGAAAGATGGGCTCTGTTTACTGAAAATCTTGATGGAGTTGTGTTAGGGCAGGGGCAAGACAGATTATGGTGGAAGGTGGATTCAAGCGGGGTTTTTACAACAAAAACAGCTTTCTTGGCCTTGACCTCCCCTTCTCCAAAGATGAGTACCTCCACTTCTTACCAAATCTGGAATTTTAAGGTTCCTAAGAAAGTAAAGTGTTTCTTTGGTCAGTTCTCTACCAAGGGGTCAACACTGAAGACAAACTACAGCGAAAATTTCCCCTTTGGACCCTTTCTCCTTCGGTTTGCATGCTGTGTTTGAGGAATGCAGAGTCCATTGATCATTTATTCCTTCACTGTTCGGCCTCTTTGGTCTCACTGTGCTTCCCTATTGGAAGTGTCTTTTTGTCTCCCTCGAAAGATAGATGATTTTATTTCATAAGGTTTTTGGGGAAGAGCTCTTGTGGGTAAAGCCTCCATTCTTTGGAATTGTGCTGCTAGTGCTTTACTTTGGCTCTTTTGGAGAGAAAGGAATAGTAGACTCTTTAAAGATAAGAAGTCCTCGATGGATTCTCTTTGTGTGAATATACAACATACGGCTTCTTGGTGGGCTATGATCCACAAGAAGGTTTTTTGTAATTATAATCTTCAAATAATTATACGAGATTGGAAAGTTGTGATTGTATAGTTGTTGAGGGAGGGTTTTCTCAACCCTCTCCCTTTAG